TTAGCCCCACGAGAAGACAGTCAGTGTTTCATCAGAGCTGCTGCCAGCCTGGTGATAGGTTCCCAAATGTACCTCCCTTGAGGGGGAAGGAAGGTGAATCATATCCAGGCAGGATCCCGACTCAGTCAATACCCACACACAAACTTTGCTAGGACAGCACTCAGGTTGCAAAGTCAAGATTTCGGCACCAACACTCGCTGAGCACCACGTGCACCTGCGTGTGCCACCAGCTCTGATTTGGGAGTGCTCCACTGTGCTCGTCAGCAGGATCTGGACTTCAAAATTCATCACCTGGACCTCCACCATGGACCTCACGGGATAAGGGATGCCTGCACAGACCACCTGTAGGCCAGGAGGGGAGTGGGGTGAGACATGAGCACCTCAAAGGTTTCCAGACCCGCAGCAGCCACGTGGAGGTTTGTCGATCTGTGGTCCCAGCCGAGGAGGTGAGCGTCACTCCCCGTGGCACAGGGTTTGGGCCATTCCTCAAAAATTAGACTCTCCTCCCTCCTCCTCCTCCTCCTTCATGCTGCCCTTGCCTGAGCATTTCCTCTTCCTCCACTGCAGCAGTGCCTCGCTTCCTACCTTTACAACCTGACCTGCTGCCACCACCCCACCTTGGCCCCTGCTCAGCCCCCCAGTTCATTCTCTGTCCCCCACGGACACCCTGGTGCTGCCCAGCAGAACCCCTGAGGACCAGACCAGAGCTCCTGCCTGGTAAGCACAGAAGTGATTTTTCCCTCTGCAAAGGTTAAGGACAGAGCTGATTTGTTTTCTCATTACCCTTGGGACTACAAAACTCAGCTGCACAGAGCAGCATGCCTGCACTGAGCACCTCAGGGCACTGAGATCAAGATTTTGGCCCATAAGGCAGGTAACCCCGGCTCCCCTGCCTGCATGCTCAAACCACACTCCTCCTGCCCCCTCAGGACCACAGGGCAGCAGGAACAGGCAAGGAGGAGGGTGACCTGCACCACTCCTCCCTTAAGGTCTTCATTTTGGGCTTGTAATCCTGGGCAATGGATTATTTTTATGCGCACAACACATGATCTGGACACAAATCATTTGCTGGGGAGTTAATTAGTCCAGGAAAGGCTAAAGGGGCATGGTACCTTTGCACTTACCTGCCTTACTGCACACTGAAATCCCAAAGTCTGGCATGCCAAGGGCCACTGGTTGCCCTCCTCTCACCCTGCCTGTGTTTGTCCTTCAAATGGGCAAATATAACTCAGTTAATGGCATAGAGGAAAGCCTGGAGAGGCCACAGGAGCATTGTGCCTCTTGGGAAGGAGATAGCAGATAAACAGGATCAAGGAATTTTGCATAGCTCAACCTACCAGTTTCTGTAAAAAGGAAATGTAGGCAGTGCCTGCAGCCCTGATTCAGAGGAGAAGCCTTTGAAATGCCTGCCAGGCAAAATGTGTTAAGATACAAACTGCTTTTCCTCCATAACAGGGCAGAGTGCAGGGAATAGCCCTCCCTCTGTGGAGCCCACCCTGCGCCAGGCACAGTTTGTGGAGCTCAGTTGGATGGCAGGAGCTCTGGGAGCCAGGCAAAGCCATCCTGATCCTGCATCACAGGCTGGTGCTGGTGCTGGGATTCAAACAGGGAAGTCCCCTGCAAGATATTCTGTTATGGACCAGACAGAAGGATTCCACTGAGAATTTGTTTCCCAGGAAAATCTTGATTTTTTTCACCTCTCTTTGTTGTTGTTGTTGTTGTTGAAAAGTGCTGAAAATGAAAATATTTGAAAGGGGGAAGGAAGGGGCTAGATTTGGGATTTTCTTTAGAGAAAGTGTCTGGATTTTTCAGGTTAGTTCTGACACCTGGTCTCACAGCAGCAGGTGTATTCTGCTGTGGCTAGGTCTTTGCCCTGCAGGAATATGATAAGAGAGGGCCCACCCTGACATCACATAACTCTACCCTCAGCAGTCTTACTCCTCAGGAAGAGAGGACAATGCCTGTAAATTGTCTCTGCTCTGGGACAAGAGAAGCTGCCAGTGTGTCTCCCTAAAACCAGAGTCCTTAATATCCTCTCCTCGATCCTGGTCACAGCACCAGAGGATAAACACTGGTTTTTGTGAGCTCTCTGTGAGCAAGCACACAGTGAAGCCTGTGAGGGCTCTACTCATTAAGCCAAAGAGGAAGATATTGGGAGAAAGGGCAGGAGGAAGATATTGGGAGAAGGGGCAGGAACACTGTAAAAATAAGTTGCTGCTGTGAGATCAGCTCCATGGAGCACCAGCTCAGCTCGTATGGTGTCACTGGGTGCCCTGTTGGTGCTCTCACTGGTGGCTCTGCCTTTTTGCCCCTCAGGTTTGGAAGGGAATGGTGCCTTGAAAGCACAGAGCCAGGTTTGGGCATTTTAGTGCAGCTGGGGAGAGGGGGGAGATGAAAATCAGAGCAGAAACCAGCACAGCCTAAGCACTCCCAGTTTTGCACAGCCATAGGGGAGCTCTGACAGGAACAACAGCAGCATCCACCATCCCAGCTGGAGGACAAGCAGCCTCTTACATGGAGCCAGAAATCCTCAGCAGAGATCTGGGGCAGGCACGTGGGGACAGCAGCTGGCACAAAATGATGGAGCTGGTCTTGAGCATGGCAAAGCCTGGCCCAGGGTTGTCAAGGCAGGACCAACTCATTTCTTGGAAACATGGACAAAAGGATGCCCACAGGAGCTGTGCAGCAGGATGTGTGTCCCCTGGGATGGGAATGAGACAACCCATACAAGGAGTGGTGGTATGAGGTGTTGGAGATTTCCTGAGTGCCCAGGGTGCTCATACAGGGTTTGGCCTTGTCAAGTGAGGGAAGTGGGGCAGCCCTTGGGCAGCTTCCAGCCATGGAAAATGAGGCTTGTGTTCTTCAACAGGAGCTCCAGGTTGGGCAACCCGGTCCCACCTTTGCAAGAAGGTTGAATCTGCAGCTTTTGCACCTACAGGGCCAAATCAAACCCCAGCATATATAACCACAAAAAATGTTGCATTACTGGAGTAGCCATTTCTAACCAAGTCCAGCTAAAATGAAGAAAAATCTAAGCTTTTCTTTATTTTTTACTTTTAGGGTTTCTTTTTAAATTATTTATTTGCAGGTAGAGATTCAGAAAAGCTTTTTTCAAAGTTGGTCTGGACAACATTCTGTTAAAACTTACTCTTCTCCTGCACAAGTGTCACCCACCACTAGCAAGTTATAAAGAGTTAAGTGAGGAGTCATGTCTGGTTTTCCCGCATCTCATCTGAATTTTGTCTCTTTCACGTGGTATTATATTTGTTCTATCCCTCAGGGTACTCCCATTCTTGGATGAGGTTTTAGTGTGGCTGTTGAATCCTGTTTGGATGGACTTCCAGGCAGACCCAGACAGCTGAAGGCTTGTCTGCAGGGCAGATGAGAGGGGACCATTTTGGAGCAGGTACGGGGAGAAGCTGCTTCTTCAGGCGAGGTCTGACATGTGAAGGGTTATTTCCAAAGCAGCCCACCCCTTCCCAATCTCCTGGGCCTGGAGGGCTGTGAACAACCTGCTTTGCTGGCCCACTCCACAGAGCCCTGTGTCCTTCCAATTGCCCAGGTTCACAGTCCAGCCATTGCAGACCTGTTGGCTCTCAGGAGCCAGCAAGCACAACACCAAATCATCAGGGGTTGGCAGCACCCAGGTCAGGAGGAAAGTGGAAGACCTGGGGTGGAGAAAGAGAAAGGGGTGGTCCTGAGAAGAAACTCAACTACCTCTACTAGTCTTTCTCTCTCAGGCACACTGTATATGGAGTTACATCGTGGCTTAAGACATTAGAGATAGGCAAGAGAAGACGTAAGTTTGGAAGATTTGTCAAAGAAAAGTTTAAAAAAAAAAATCAAATATCCCACAGCAGTCCAAAGTAATAGCTCAACTGCTAAAAAAGGTGGAATTAAATAGGTCAAGCTGTAGAGCTGTGCTACTTTATACCAGCTAAAGGAACTAGCTTCTCATCTGCTAGGCTGTTTCACCACTTGCTGTTCCAAGGATCCATCTCTCTGCTAGTAATGATGTCAAATAAATCTCCACTAAAATGTAAAAATGTTTATGATGATACTTACTGACCCGTTCCTTTATTAAATGAGGACAATAGGATGATGCCTTGATATTTACTAATGGGTTACTCCCATCTAACCTTTTCTTATTCATCCAGATCATCTGTTTTCATTTCATCATTCAATGGCTGCCAATAAAATTAAGTCAATTAAATTAAAGGTCTATTATGTTCTTTCATATCAGGCTGAGGCCTGTTTTCTTTCCCCAGTCAATACTCTGAGATTTTTGATAGGGCAGCTGGGAAATCTGGAGCAGATTCTCCTCTGCTGGAAATTGGTTCAGTTTTTCAAAAATCAATGGAGTAGCATCAGCTTACCCCAGCTGAGGGCCTGGACCCTGATGTGTAGGAATAAGCCTCAAGCCTGTCTTTGGGCCAAGATTCATATCTGGAATCACTCCCTCATGCAATCCCAAAGACCTTGTCTACTTATCAAAGTGTTAGAAGTTCCTTATAATATATGTGGTGCAGTTACACCATCATCTCCTCCCTACAGAAATATTCCAGTATAAAAATGGCCTTTTATATTTGACTTTAAATGTGAGCTATTCCCAAGAGGCGTCAGTGAAATCAATAAAAGACTCTAATGTCACATAGTGGTGTCTGCATGAAGCTGTCTGCTTTGGTTTTGTGATATAAAACGGTTTATTTTATTTTTTTTTCCAGTGTAGACAAGACTTTAATATCTCATTCTGTGATCATTTAAATAAAAAAGCAAACAGAGGAGCAATGTTCTCCATCCAAACAAAATCCCAAGCTCTAGCCTTGAAATGCCATTCAAGTATCTCAAGAACTAGTGGTGGGTATTACATTATTTATATACATTTATTCCTCTGCCTTACTGCTTTGGGAAGAGCTGAACATGACCCCAACAGGGGATATGGAAATGAGGGGAGATCCACTGATTCAAATATCCCCAGCATGACTCATGGCTGGTGTGGTCCCCAGTTCTGCCTTATTTTCTGTTATTTCAGTTTCTCTGGCATGTCTGATAAAAACAGGACAGGGAATGGCCTCTCCTGTGGTGGAGCAGGATGGATGTCTCCAGTCAGCCAGTGGGAGATGCTGGGATTGCAGCCAGGGGCTCTGACCCATCCAAGGGAACACAAGATGTACAAATCCACTCGCACCTCCTAAGCAGTTGCAATTGGGAGATAAACCATTAGTGGCACTGGGAGCACAGCTTGGCAAGGTTTGGGGGCTGCGGTGTGAGACCAGGCTCTCAGCTTCTCAGGAAGCCTTGGACTGCAACTTCCAGCAGCAGGACTTGTGGCCTGCCTTGGTGGAAACCCTGCACTGCGGCAAACACAGCGGGATGTGGGGATGGGGGAATTCCTTTTCCAGGCACAGGTGATGGCAACTGCTTGTGCAAAAGGCCGTGTGCTGGCATGTGGTCATGGAAGAGAGGGGAAGCTGCCAGAGAGCTGAGGACAACCATGAGGAGACTTTCCAAAAGGTGTTGGGCTCCATCCCACAGAATCCTGGTGGAGTGAAGGACACCAACTGGAACTGCAGAAATGGTTTTCTTCAGTTCTGTCTCATTGGGTGGGGATGAGACCTGCCTCTCTACAGTCCAAAACAACAGTAAGACAAAGGGTATTGTATCTGTCTTAAAGGCTCACGTTGCCCCAAGACACATTTTTCTTCTTGAGTTTTAGTGTCTTGTCCCTAATAATAAAGAAGGATTGCAGATCTTTTCTGTAAAATTCTAATAGGACTAGCAAAAATGTCAGAAATAAACCCAACCAAGACAACATCACCTAGCTCAGGTGACAATCTTGAATTGCTTTTTTCAACTTAAAAGTGGTGAACCTCCCTTAATGTTCCAAATGCTTTGTCAGAAGTCATCTGTAAATTGTTAAGTCATCATATCTGTGCTGCTGTTGTATTTGAAACTCCAGCCCTCTGTTAGCAATCATCTCAAAGTGCACAAGTAGAAAGTGTTTTGACAGTCTTCCTGCAAACTTGGTGGCAAGGTTAGCACAATCCCCACCAAACTTAGACAAACTGTGCTGTGAAAGGAAGGCAAACAAAGATCTGGAAGAGTCCCTTCACAGAGGTTGAGAGAAGAGACAATGTTTACCCAAAAATCGTAAAGCAAACTTGGGAATTAACACTGAACAGCTTTGTGGGTATGTCCAAGTGAGAGACTTTGTAAGCAAAGCTTTATTTGACTCTCTGCTGTCACAAATTCAAACTGTGAAACTTCTTCTAACCCTAATTAACTCAAAATGTTTGACATCTTACGAAAGCTTTGAAGCACAGAAGGGCTTTCTATTAGCCAAACCTACAGCACAGTCCAGAAGTTCAAACTTCAAAGTTTTTCAATTTGCATCAGGCATTGTATAAACTACAAGGCAAGCTCACACAACAGCCAGCAACCTGTTTGGCTCCTAGAGTGCATTTCTCCAGGATAAAAGCCTTAAAGCGATCTACAAATTTCTAACTGTATGTAGAAAAACCTCTTTTCAGACCCAAGGGGCATGAATATGAATGCAAGAGATATGGTCACATTGTGAAAAGGCAAGGCAGAAATATCCCTTGCATGGTGTTGCAAGTGGGATAGGATAAGAGTTCAGGGTCAGACCTTCCTCTGAGCTAATCCCTTTGTCACTGAACAAGGGATGGACCTGAGATATCCTAAAGTTTCTTGCCACAGCAGTCCCTGCTCAGTCTAGAGACTGGTTAAGGGTAGAAAGTTTAACACTCTGTTTCCTCAAAGAATCCTGTCATTCATTTATGGGTTTCCAGCTCTAAGTGATCTCTGAAACGATGCAAACAAGATTTGGTTGCCCATTTCCTCTTAATGACCCTGCTGTGTGCAGTTCCATCAGCTCTGTGCAGAGCTAATTTCTGCTGAACAATCACAGTTCAGCTGCTGGAAACCCACATGCCATCCATTTCAAGAACTGTAAAGGTGAACTTCCTCCTGGGAGATCCACACCCCTCCTGTAACTGTCGAATTAATGGAATTACGTTGGGGTAAAAGTGATGCAAATGAAGAGAACACTTACTTGGCAATTTATGTGCTGCGTCAGGAAAACGTTATCACTTCTGACCTGTCAGGGGTATTCTCTGTTTACTGATGCCTTTGTAAACACAGCAGTCATTTTGATGAAATCCTTATGTAATGATTACATCAGGAGAGTTACACCACTGAAAAAAAAAAAATCACAGCATTTTCCATCTCTGCTGCACATTAGATACCAGCAATAATGATTTCCATGGCGTTATCCTTGTGCAGAACTGAAGCAGAAGAGTTCAGATTCCTGCGTTTTTGTCAAGGCAATGCATAGGTTTAGTTACTTCCAGTCATTCACACTTAAACAGCATCTTGAGGTGCTTTTACTACATGACAGCAAAGCAAGCAGTGTTAGTCACAGTGGGGCCACGAGTCACTAGTACTTCTCATCAGGTGAATGCTGAGAGCCACAGCCAGGAGAGCTTGGTGTTGGTGAAAGAGGAAGGGAAGGGGATGCTTACACCTGATGTGCTCACAGAAGGAACAGGAGCAGCAGCAGAATGACTTTTCCATATCCAGACATGCATCACCACTGTGACTCACTGAATCATTCACAATGGTGGGTTTTAACAGGAAGGAGGAGAATAAAGGCAAGAATAAACTTGCTGAACAAGATAAGTTTGTATGCAGCAATCTTTGCGATTCACCTACCTTTTCCTTAAAGGCACCTTTCTATCAGCCAAGCAGCACCCCATATTTCCTGAGGAAAGATCTTGCATGGTATCTCTGGCCTCTCCACTTGGTTCTCTTCAGACTGGAGCTACCAAGAAGGTCAGCTGCCTATCTGAAGAGATCTGCCTTGGCTGGTCTCCTCCCCAGGCTCAGTCTGGGCCCTGCTGCATCTGGCTGTGGGCACCTCTGTGTGGGGAAGGGAGCACAATCCCTGAAGGTTTTCCCCTGGAACAGCAGAAAAAAAACCAGGAGCTCTCAGCAGGAAGGCACAACTGTAAGAAAAGAGAGTGATGAGATAATACATGGGTGGTGGTGGGCGTCAGTGAGAGAGAAGAGCAGTCATTTGTCACTCTGATTTATTGAGCAGGGATTATTTACAACCATATCCACAGTGCAGTGATGGAGCTGTGGCTTTCATGGGGGTGACGTGTCTGAGTTCAGTTCTAACTGCCTGGGGGTTCCCAGCTCACAGGTCCTGGCTTTCCTTTCCTGCCAGGTAGACGTGACACCTGGAGTGCTTTTTGTTCCCCTCCCCTTGTTTGCCAATGGGAAGAGGAATTTCATTGCGTTAATCTGGGAGCAAAAGCCAAGAGAACAAAGAGCAAATATTGCAGGACTGGCAAAAATCACAAGAGCTGGCAGCACTGCCTGGAGTTTGTCTCTTTGTTACCCTTTCTAGAATAATTGAGAGAGACTTAACCAACCCACTGGCATAGACAGGGACACACGGTGCCTTGTAAAACTCAGGGCAGAGAACAGAACGCAAACACAGAATTTCAGTGTGAGAGTCTTGTGGATCTAGTCTCTCTGTGTGAATGCCCTTATTCCCTGCTGTGCCCCCAAAATCCTGTGGATTTCAGCACAAACAGGTACTCTTTGAGCCTTCTACCAAACTGCAGGGGAAACAAAGTCTAAATGACAGGTACATGCACATGAATTAAGAAAAAGAGTTTATTAACTGCAGGCAGTCGCCAAGTCAGTGTGTTTAGACTGAATCCAGTAAATGCTGCAGACCAGCTTTGATTCCCACTGCTCCTAGCATTTCAGTGGCAAGAAGTATTTTGTGGTATAAACTTATCCTTAGTTCACTCTTGGTTCTCCAAGACTCTCCTGGGACTTGTTTGATATAACGTGATTGTCTCGATGTCACCACAGTGAGGACCTGTGAGCCACATCCTGCGTTCCTCAGGCATCTGGCACTTTCAGGACTACAGAAATATCCACTCCAAGGCTAACAACTCTAACAAAAAGTTAAATATGCCCTTTCAGAAAAACACCACAGTTGGAGGCTTCAAGTTTTCTCTGAGGTCTGAAACTTTGAAACCAGTTCCCCATAGGGAGTCATGGTTTCAAGGAGGGCAACAGTTTGCATTGTTAAAAATGTCAAGACAAGCAAGTTTCCAGGGAATCCCATTTCTGCCTGCTGAAGGACAGCTGTCTTAACCGGGCACTGGTCAGACCTTTCCCCAAGGAAGCACACCAAGCCTAACATCCTCCAGCATCCAAGTCTCCTCTCTTTCACTCCAGTTTGGGTTAGAAAGCATTGGAAGAGGCTTGACTGATGTAAAACTGTAGGAAACAAGATATTCTTAGACACAGTGGTAATGGTAACATGGTATCTTTCCAGGACAGAAATAGGGCAATTTGTTTCGGCAAGAACCAGTAACAACAGCACCAAAGATCCTGGCAAAACGGGAGTGAGAGCCGTCGGGCTGAGGTGATTAAAATACAGCATAAACCAAGACAACTCCAACAATGTTGTGGGTGAACAGAATAGGTTTTTCTCTGTCTACACATAGACACACATCTATCTATACAGATACACACAAATATATGCATTCAGGTAGAAGCATTATTCAAAGAGGGGTTAATTTTAAGCTGATGATGCCCATTAGTGCAAGGCGAAAGCAGGAGTTTGGAAGCACTTGGAAGAGTTTCCTTTTGTGGGTGTAGAGCTGCTAAGTTGCAGTGTAGAGGCAGCAATGACTTTCTTTCAGGGAGACTGTGCAGCACAGCCCCAGAAGGAAGGCTGGTGCCTCCACTTCTCCACATACCTTTCATCACGAGTCAGAGCTAGGCTGCAAGGAGGATTTGCTGCCTTATCACCTCCTCCTCCTGCACCTCTCATTGGAGTTTACATCAGCCTGGATCCAGCCTGGCTCATTTAAACAAAGCCATCAAAGAAAATATCCCTGTGTTTTCCGAAGGGATTTGGAGAGCCCAGCACAGCAAACAGCCGTGTAAAACTCACTCGCCTGACAAGCACAATATCCCTGATGTAAACCAAAAAAAACCCATGCCAAGGGAAAGCTTAATAGTCACCTGGAAAAAACATTAACTTGAGTTACATCTATTTTTCTAATGGCATATTGTGCATGTAACAAAACACCCACAAATAATTTTGGGACCAGGGATGTTGCCCCTTCTAATTGTTTTCATCATGGGGGCCGACAGGGCTCTTACGTGCGCTTTTGACTGCCACGGTGAAATATGTGTTCCCTGTTTGTTCTTGTTCTGCCTCTGCAGGAAATCAGAGACTCTGGCTTCCTGTAGGCTACAGATGCTTTATTCTTTGTATTCCCCAAATAGGAAGTCCTGGGGTCATTCTGCCAAATATATGGAAACTTAATTTCATTTCAACACAGGATTAATCACTAGGAAGTGTCAGGACATTGATGGTCTGATAACAAGACAGTTACAGCAGAAAACCTTTTATGGGCACCAGGGTTAAAGCATTTGGCAGCAGACATGAAGCTTTAAGTCTCTGCATCCAATGGGGAAGGAAGGCAACCTGATGAGAATTAACGCCGGCAATTGTGATAGCGGTGTTTTCTTAATGCCCTGTAAACCTCACCAAACTTTTAAGCCTTTTTATATTTTAAGAGGAAGGTAGATGATTGTATTTGATGACTAACCCCTGTTTTTGATGACTAAGCTCTGTGTTTTCACTCTACAAATCAAAACAGTCTGTGATAAAGTTCCTCTCCTTGCCACAGCCTGGCAATGGCACAGCTCCACTCAGTTGAAGGAAAGGCTTCTGATGTGCACCCTTGGAATCACAGAATCATTAAGGTTGGAAAAGACCTTTAAAATCATCAAGTCCAGCCATTAACCCAGACCTGCCAAATCCACCACTAAGCCATGTCCCTACAAACCACATCTACACTTTTTTTTAACACTTCCAGGGATAGTGGTTCCACCACTTTCTTGGGCAGCCTGTTCCAATGCCTAACCACTCTTCCACAGTGAGGAAATTCTTCTCCATATCCAATATAAATTTCCTCTGGCACAACTTGAGGCCACTTCCTCTCACCCTGTCACTTGTTACCTGGAAGTCACAGATCAGTCCCTTACTACCACTGCATGTCAGAGGGGTTCAGATTTCTGAGGCTAATGGAACACTGGAAAACCCAATTGCTAAATTCAAGTCCAGGAGCAAACAAATGGAGTTCCAAGCGTGCTCAGACTATCTGTTTTAAGCACTTTTTAAACACAGACAACATCACACTGCTGTGGGGTTAACAATTATTATTATTCCCATTATAAAGGTGGGAAAAATGAAGTACAAACACTGAGAGCTTGATCTGTGCCCACAGAGTTGGGCTTTTTGTCAGAACCCAGAGACTGACAGCATCAGTCATAGAATTAAAGAATCATAGAATGGTTTGGGTTGGAACAGACCTTAAAGATCAACCAGTTCCAACCTCCCCTGCCATGGGCAGGGACACCTTCCATTAGACCAGGTTGCTCACAGCCCCATCCAACCTGTCCTTGAACACTTCCAGGGATGGGACACCCACAACTTCTCAGGGACTTCCAGGTCTTTCTTGAATATAATGTCACCTCCTACCATAGAGGAAGAGATCTGTCTAAATCATAGGACTTTGTGAGGACAGCATGCTTCTAAAACCATCATCAGCTCAGCATTTTCTACAATGAGTAAATAGGGAGTGAGGAATCTTTACAGAAAGGAAAATCCCCTTCACAGAGACCAGCAGGTCTGTGGTGCCCTGCCCAAACTGCTCTTGTGCTATGTACAAATGGAGCTAGCAACCCCTCACTTTTAAAAACACACTGCAGCGAATGTTTCAATTTCTACCCTTTTTTGAGCTCATGTGACATCTGCTATGGAAAAGCTGTCAGATCAGCCCATTGTGCTTCACATGCGTCCTCCACCTCTACTGTCTGAAGCAGAAGATGAGAAAAACTGGGTGTGTAGAGGGATTCCCTCTGCCCACCACATGAGATCACCCAGCTGCCACTAAGCTTCCCACGCCAGCAGAGCTGAGAGGCTCACCACGGTCCTGAGCAACCTCACAGGCCATTTCACCAGGCAAGTCCAAAATGTCCCTCGATGAACAAGACTCTAATATCAACACCGTGCCCTCAGGATAAACTGTGGGATGCACAACTGAAGGAGAGGGAAGCCTTGGGGCAAGACTGCACCACTTTTCTGCCTTAACTCAGCTCTGCAAAGCTCCCCTTTCCTTGTAATTAATCCCTGTCTCATTCAGTGAGGTAGTGTGGACATTCACCTAAATCCGTTAATAAGCCGAGGGATTTGAGCATGAGTTTAATATTAAACTCACTGTTAAATGTTCTGCTGAATAGAAATAGAGCCAGAAATTGGCTTATGTGCTTTGCTGAATAAGAACAGCTTGCAGCAGTTCAGCATCAGTGGTGAAGGGAGATTACTCTGTGAGAATGATTCACTTCACTCAAGCCCAGACAACCCGGAGCTCCACAAGCCAGATCCCACCCTGCTTGTAAAGGGACTTGAGAACACGAGAGGCTGGAATTGAGCAAGGATGCATATGATGAGTGCTGCCACAAGACACCCAGGATGTGAAAATAACAAATGCAAAAAAAGGTTCACTGCAGAGCATTTCTCCCTTGGGGGTGTTCACAAACCTGCAGAAACGCTGCATGAAGAGAGTGGTGACCTTATCGAACTGATGTACAGCAACTGAGCCAAACCACCAGCAGTTCAGTCAGCTCCACTTAGCAGCTCTTGTGTACACTACAAAGCCTTTACCAGCAGCTAAGATGGCTGATTTATGTCAGCAGACTCAGCTTATATTTGGAAGGGGGTGATTTGGAAGATTTATCTTAATG